CAGGGCATAAAATGGTATAATGTACTGGTTAGTGTGTTGGATCAGGACTAGAAAGCCTGTATTTTACTTCCCGACTAAGTTATGACATTCACTGGGACCAGCTGCTGTTCCACCCACTCTAACCAACCTGTCAGTGTCACTGAGAGGACAAAATGGTGAAGGGGAACATGCTCATCATACATCATTCACACGCAGTAAGTGATACTAGCGATGACCTGTTAACTGGCAGCAATTTGCCACAGCAATGTATGCCACTGCACTTACACTACTGCAACTAATCAGCAGGATTCTAGCCTCTTATTGTCTGGCCTTTAGATCTTTCCATGTTTTGTCAGACCCAAGATCTCAATAATAAAAAATGTATTCAATAAAGCAAACTTTCTCCACTTTAAATATTTGGTACAACTTCCAAGTAGAGTCCAGCACCCTTCCAGCCAAATCACTTCCAAAAATGTACTTCTCCTGCGGCTTTAGACTGCCTGCTTCCTTGCCAGAAGGAATAAGATTTTTTTTAAAAGGGAAAATGGACTATAACCCTGGGGAACAAGGTTTGAATTCCTGGTCAGCCATGGAAACTCACTGGGGGACTGGAATTGGTAAAATATCTCACTTAACTATAAAGCCCTATTAGGGTTGTTATAAGTCAGTTCCGACTTGATGGCATGTAACACATATGCAAGTTTGGTGAATATCAAATATGGTCATAACTACAGGAAAGGAGAAACGGGTTCATGTTCCTGCATTTGTTTCCCCTTCATTTTGCCCAAAGCCATCTTGTGTGTTCATTATTCCTAATATTGGTATATGTGAGCTGTTGCTTCAAGGAGATGCACAATGCCAATTTTCAAGTGAGTTGGGCAAGCCCAGAGAACAGAAAGTGTAAACTGATTGTACCACCTGTTCTTTTTCCTTATTGTCCCATTGCCAGGTCATCCTGAGCGAACCTTGACTTCAGCTCAGCTCAGCTGAGACAACGACAACTCAGGTCATCCTGAGCGAACCTTGACCTCAGCTCAGCTCAGCTCAGCTGAGACAACGACAACAACGACGACAACAGGTATGTGCAAACCTCTCATCCCAGTTATGGGAAGGAGCAAAACCAGAGCTGTACATGGAAAACATCATCATGTCAGTAACACATAACCTGGGAAATTCCACCTAATATTGAGTCATTGCCAAGTTAAATGTTCACCAGCCTCATTCTTTTCCTAGCCAGCCTGCAACAGGTACACCGAATGTTGACTATACTGGGCTAGGTTAAACAATTGCTCTGACTCCATGTGGGGTGACTTCCTAGTCGACTAACCACAATGGGATGCACAATACACAGCAAAATTCAAGTTCACAGTAAGTTCCCATTACTGGAGAAGCTGTCCCAAGGAATGGCAAACACAGCTTAACAATGCATCACGTAAGCTCCCACTTTCATTTTGGCAGTTTTTAGAAGTCTTTTTCTAGCTTTAGCAAATGAGTCCGACAACACAGCCCTCAATAGAACATAATGAATTATAATCAGATTCCACTGTAATTCAGTAATTCTGGAAAAAAACCATTTCCTGGCTGCTTTGAAACAGAGCTAGTGATGATGTAAGGAAAACTAGGCATAAAATACTGGGAACATTACTGGGAGGCTTATTCCTGTTCAAGCTCCATTGACATTCACAGAAATTGTAAAACACCAATGACAAGTGCCTAGCAATGGTGAGGCTAAAATGCAACTATACAATTTATTTTTAACATCGAAATTTACTGGATAACCTATGTTTTTCCCTGGGTATTTTTTATGATTACTACAATAAAGAAAAGATTCAGAAAACTGAACATATTTTCATTTAAAGCAGACAACTTCCAAAGTGACTGACCAATTCTTTCTTTCTTTCTTTCTTTCTTTCTTTCTTTCTTTCTTTCTTTCTTTCTTTCTTTCTTTCTTTCTTTCTTTCTTTCCTTCCTTCCTTCTTTATACCCCACCCATCTAGTCAATTGACTACTCTTTAAAGTGGTGGTGGCCAAGGAAATTATCTGCATTGCATGAGTGAATTAGAACCATTTACGTTTATTTGAACAATTATAGTCTGTGGCCACTGGTCCCATCACCTCCTGGAAAATAGAAGGGGAAGATATGGAGGCAGTAACGGATTTTGTTTTCTTGGGGTCCATGATCACTGAAGATGGGGACAGCAGCCACGAAATTAAAAGCCACTTGCTTCTTGGGAGAAAAGTGATGACAAATTTAGACAGCATGTTAAAAAGCAGAGACATCACCTTGCTGACAAAGGTCCGCATAGTCAAAGCTATGGTTTTTCCAGGAGCGATGTATGGAAGTGAGAGTTGGACCATAAAGAAGGCTAACCACCAAAGGATTAATGCTTTTGAATTGTGGTGTTGGAGGAGGCTCTTGAGGGTCCCCTGGACTGCAAGGAGAACAAACCTATCCATTCTAAAGGAACTCAACCCTGAGTGCTCACTGGAAGGACAGATCCTGAAGCTGAGGCTGCAGTACTTTGGCCATCTGATGAGAAGAGAAGACTCCCTGGAAAAGACCCTGATGTTGGGAAAGTGTGAAGGCAGGAGGAGAAGGGGGATGAGATGGTTGGACAGTATCATTGAAGCTACCAACATGAATTTGACCCAACTCCGGGAGGCAGTGGAAGACATGAGGGCCTGGCATGCTCTGTTCCATGGGGTCACAAAGAGTCAGACATGACTTAATGACTAAACAACAAAATACATTAAAAGTCCCATTCTAACTGAACTTTTTCTGAACAGTCAGTGAAATTTCATAGCTCTTAAAACAATTTTAATTGCACCACCTTTACATCATACTACACAATAAGCTCTTATCCCTAGAGACTGCATTTCAAAGCATGCTATTTACCCTCTTCTCAGTTACAAAATATTACATCTATCTGCAGTGCCCTTCCTGGAGCTCCACAAACTTGGCCTCATCCCAAGAACTTATATACCATTTCCTGCATTTCTGGGCCATGGGAAAATTCATTCATTGAGAAAAAGTGTTACCAGCTAGTTATCTGTTTCCCAGCTTTAGAATATAATTTGTTCTAAAGTAGGAACATTTGACTTTTGCTATGTGTGTGTGTCACTTCCCTATTCAAAAAAGTTCTTTGATACCTAAGGAGGAAGTCATTTACTTGAAATCAAGCCATCTACAGTATACTGGGGCAGGTATTATTAATGAAATATATTTTCTCTACCAACGCCAACAGCCCATATCAATAGCACAAATAAGGCTACACATCTATTTACAATTCTCCTGTTCAACTACCATATTCTTAGAATTAAACAGATTATGGGTTTTCATCCATCTGTAGTTGTCAATTGTGGCTTCTACTTAAGATTTTGGTTTGGAAATAACCTTTTAAAGACCTATGGCTGTTGTTTTACCCTTTTGTTCAAAATGGTTTTGTTTACTTGGTGACAAATCAGAGAGGAACAGCCCTATGCACAGGATTACTTCAGATTGAGTCTTATTGAACTCAGGGGAGCTTACTTCCACGTAGACACATACAGGATGGCAATGTCAGTCTGTCACGGCAAATCAAGAGACACAAACATTTTAAAAATCCCTAGGCTATCCACTCCTGCCAAAAAAAACCTTTCTCCGTCTTTATAAAGTGCCCACAATATTTGCTTGATTAGGTGATGTGATGCTAACTGGGAGGGAGCTTCGCCTTACCTAGGGGTCCTTAAGCAAAATGGTTTTTATTTCCTAGAGATGGCTAAATAGAACGAACTCATCAGAAATGAAAGATGCGCCCAAAGGAAACAGACCTCCTTCTGCCTCTCTTTCAAAGTTGGAGGGAAAGAAGTGAAAATAAGAGGTTGAGCAGACTTTTGACAGCGCCTAATTAGCCATAAAAACGTCCCGCCCTGGGCCCCTCCTTCCGATCACAAAACTGGCGTCAGTTTGTCTCCTGTATCTATACTCTCTTCCTCCCCCCCCCACCCCACCCGTGCTCGCTGCCCTCTCTTTCTGAGAAGATATATGTCATTTGTAAGCTAAGAAAACCGGAGGGCAAAGGCGGCGGGGGAGGGCGTGGAGGGAGAATAGGGTGACTTCACCGCATCGAGAACTGTCCTTAGTCGATCCCCGGTTCACGGGAGCACAAACATTTTCACACGTTGACAGAAATGCCCGCCAAGGACGCTGGCGGAAAGTTAAGCCCGGACGCACGGTGTCCTCAGATGGACAGAGATTGCGCTTTTTTCCTTCCTTTCTCCCCCTTCGGTGATAGAAACTCATAGAAAAAAAAAAGCCATCGGTCTCTAGACCTCCTTTCGTCGTTTCCGTTCTTGATGACTTCAGGGCAGGTCCGGGAGCCCGATCCGTTGGCGGTTTGCTCGAAAAGAAGTCCCATTCAATTCAAGGGGGCTTACGCTCGAGTAACTGCGCGCCCAACGGCCCTGCCCCCACCCGTACAACGTAACCGTGAAGCTAAGCGCCACCCAAATGCAAACGGCATCTCATAAATATCTTATTCGAGAGAGCCTGGGGAGTGAAAACACGCGGAACACGTGCGAAGTGCCGAAAGGAAGGAAA